AGGCACCCAAGACGGCTCAAGAGGGCCCCAAGAACGCCCCAAGAGGGATCCCAGATGAGGAGCACGAGCCGACAATTCGAGGTCTCCCAAGAGGCTCGGAGAGGCCCCAGGAGGCCCCCAAGAGAGCCCCAGAGATGCCCTCAAGAGGACCCCAAGCAGACTCCAGGAGCGGGCCGCCGAGAGCCCCCCGAAGAGACCGCAAGAAGCATCCATGAGGACTCTGACCCACGTTGCGTTCGCACGCGCCCACCGCACCGATTCCGGCACGCCCCTCACACGTTTCGTGGCCCCATAGGGGATTCCACCGACGGCCTCAATGGCTGCTTTCGCACGCGCCTGCCGCACAATGTTTGGCACACCCCTCGCACGTGTGGTGGCCTTACAGGGAGCTCCTCCGAATGCGGTGCATACAGCGACGGTGCTCACAACTGCATACGGTTGGGTCCTTCGCCAGGCAAATTCAAGTCAAGTGCTCCTCCGAAGGTTCGCACCCTGCTTTTTACAAGGGAAAGCGAAAGGTCATAAGTGTCACCAAACTGGGCCCCTGGAGTTACAGCAACAACGGCTCCCGCCCGATACTTCCCCACAAGTTACTCCCAAATCGCACTCTCGCGCGGGACGTCCTCACAATGTATACAGGAATCGCGCTCTCGCGTGGGACTTCCTCACAATTCATTCAGACGCCGCGCCCTCGACACTCAGGAATCACGCTCTCGCTGAGCATTTCCTCACGATTTACTTGGGAGTCGCGCTATCGTTCGGAATTTCCTCGCGATTCCTGCAGGACGCACGCTTCGGCAACCTGCCTGCTCGCCCTGGCCTCCTGGGCCCGCTTTCCAGAGCCACGTGATTTCTGTTCATGGTACACGTCCTCGTATTCCATCCTCCTCCCTCCCCCGTGTCCCTTCCTTCCATCCGTCCTCTCTTCCCATGCCTTATGGGCTGCGCAACATACACGTTGCAGGTAACCCCTGATTGGGGGGGGGGTACGATCGAAAACGAAGAGGGCGGGCATCGAGGGCTGGGGATTTACGAGTTGAAAGGCACGCGAGCAGATAAAGGCGAACAGTCTTAAAATGATTGCTGTTAAACCTTCACTACTGAATAATAATCATTATTGATCCCCCTCTGGGGCACGTTGTATTTCTTCAACTGAAATGCCCTTCCCAGGGCTCGCACCGTGTTATTTGTAAGGGGAAGTCTTGGGTCTCAGAATGGGGCCCCTGGCTCCGGATTTACGACAACAGTGGCTCCAGCCAGATACTTCCTCGCAAATTATTCCCAAATTGCGCTCTCGCGTGGGACGTCCTCACAGCGTATACAGAAATCGCGCTCTCGCGTGGGATCACCTCGCAATTCATTCAGACGCCGCGCCCTCGACACTCAGGAATCACGCTCTCGCTGCGGATTTCCTCACGATTTACTTGGGAGTCGCGCTACCGTTCGGGATGTCCTCCGCTTCAGCAACCCGCCTGCTCGACCTGGCCGCCTGGGCCCGCCTTCCCGACCCGCCCGTTCGGATGTACCCGCCCGATCTGCCACGTGTTTTCTGTTCCTAGCCCCCCTCCTGGTACTCTCTCTCTCTCTCGTGCTCCATCCTCCTCCCTTCTCCTTTGTCCCTTCCTTCCATCCGTCCTCTCTTCCCCTGCGGTCGGGGCTGAATGAAATACACTTTGCAGATAAAAAAGATCTACCCCCAAGGCGGTACGATCAAAGACGAAAAGGGTGAGTATCGAGGGTTTGGGACAGAAGTGTTGAATGGCAACCACGCAGACAAGAGCGACCAGTCTTAAAATGAGTGATGTTGTTGCTGCTGATGTTATTGTTGTGTTGTTGTTGCTGCTGCTGTTGTTGTCGTCGTTCTTTCCTTTTGAAATTTCCGAAAGGCCTTCGGCCCAACCCGCCGATCACCCAGAGAGCCGCGTCAAGACCTCAACGTGCACAAATCATTCCATGACGGCCAAGATGGCCCAGCATGGTCGCCGAGATGCCTCCAAGATGGCCAAGATGGCCCAATATTGCCTCCAAGATGGCCCCAAGATGTCTCCGAGACGGGCCGATATGCCTCCAAGACGGCCCGAGATGGCCGCAAGATCCCCCAAGACGTCCTAAGAAGCCTCATGAGGTCTTGAAGACGGCCCAAGAGGCCTCCAAGAGAACCTCCAGAGGGGTCCGAAGAGGATTTCTGGAAGTGTTTGAAACCACTTGTCATTTTCTTTTTTTCCTCCTCTCCGACAGCCCAAGGCTGCCCCACAGGCCACCAAGATGGCCCCAAAAGCGCCCAACAGGCCTCCGAGATGGCCCCTTGACAGCCCAAGAGGCCGGCCCCAAGAGGGCCCCAAGACGGCCTAGGCGACCTCCATCTTGGTCCAACTACTTCCCTGAAGCGCCCCAAGAGTGCCCCAAAACGGCCCAGCGAGGCCCGCAAGACGGTTTCCGACGGCGTCAGACGGGCCAGGAACGCCGTAAGACTGCCAAAGCGCATCCGAAGGAGCCTAACTTTCTTGGTTCGATACTAGTTGTCCTTCTCTTTTGTCTCTATCTCTCTCTCTCTCTCTCTCTCTCTCTTTCTTTCTCTCTCTCTCTCTCTCTACATATATATATGTGTGTATATATGTGTTTTTGTTTGTTCTCTCTCTCTCTCTCTCTGTTGTTTTGATATTTTGTCTCTCTCTCTCTCTCTCTTTTCTCTCTCTCTCTCTCTCTTTCTCTCTTTCTCCATCTCTCTCTCTCTCACTCTCTCTTTCTTTAGCTCTTTCTCGCGTTCATCTACTCACCCGTCGGTGGTACCCTCTACCCTTCATATGCTCACCCCTGTCAGTGGTACCCGTCATGTGTGTGCTCGTACGCGTTTTCCACAAATAGTGAGGCCTTCGGACGCGGCGCGACCTGTCCGCGCGAAAAGCCGACCATTCTGGAGCGAAAATAATCCGTTTCGGTGCTCCGTGCAAGGCCTGCAGGTTGCGTCGGTATCCCCGTTTTTGCTCGAGGTCAGGTGCCCCGGGGGGGCACGAGGCAAGCCTGACACCACTCGCAGCCTCCCAACGCGCCCCCAGGGCCCATCTCTGGGGATGGACAGGGCGCGCTGGGCGTGTCCCAGTCCAGCGCCCTCGCTCGAGATATCCTTTAAAAAGTCGCCCCTCGGCCACCCGGCGCGCCCCCTCCTAGATAAGAACATTTCTGGGGATGCACCGGGCGCGCCGGGCGTGTGCCAATCCGGCGCCTTCGCTCGAGACATCCTCCAAAAAATCGCCCCTCGGCCACCCGGCGCGCCCCCCCTAGGAGCATTTCAAGGATGCACCGGGCGCGCCGGGCGTGTCCCAATCTGGCGCTCTCGCTCGAGACATCCTCGCAAGAAACGCCACACGGGCCCCCAGCGCGCCCCCAGGTACCATTGAAGGGGCCCTGGGACACACAAATAAATACACACAACTAGCAGGATTCCCCATATTTTCCGGGTTTTTGTCTTCCCCCCCACTTCCCATATTTTCTTATATATTCTGGGGAATCGACGATTACTTGTGTCTGTGTTTGTTTCCCTCCTGAGAACCATTTCTGGGGATGCACTGGGCGCGCCCGGCGCGCCCCCTTTAAGGGCCCTCGGCACGCCCCTAGGGACTACTTCCAGGGATGCACTGGGCGCGCCAGGCGCGCAAGGCGCGTTCCAGTCCAGCGCCCTCTCTATCAAATCGGGCTGGGCGAAAAGGGAGGATAGCAAAGGGGGGGTCTGAGAATCAGCTCACGCAGCTGATCTTCCCGGCGCCTCCCGGCGCTGGAATGGGCCCCTCGGTGGGGCCGAAACCAGCTGCATGCAGCAGATTTCGTAACCCCCCCTTTCCCTATCCCCAGAGATCCGACGTCGTGATTTTTTCAATGCGGGGCCCCCGGGGGTCTCGACTCGTTCCCCGGGACCGGTTTTTCATCCTAAGTCGTTTTTTGACGGTCCCGGGGCCCGGCGAGGGCCCCTTGAGGCCGAAACTTGCGAAAAACCTCCGTCTTGATTTTTTCAATACGTTGGATCTCTGGGTCCCCCCCTTTCGTCCGGCTCGAAAAAATACCTTCGCGAAAGTCCCCTCACGGGCCCCCAGCGCGCCGGGCCTGATCCAGCGCTCCCGCTCGAGACATCCTCCCAGAAATCGCCCCGCGCGCTACCAGGGGCCATTTCCGGGGACGCACCGCGCCTGGCGCGCCGGGCGCGCCCTCGCGGCAGACATCCGGGCAAAAATCGCCCCACCGAGATCCGACGTCGTGATTTTTTCAAGTCGGGGTCCCCGGAGGTCTCGACCCATTCCCCAGGACCGGTTTGTCATCCTGAGTGCGTTGTTTTTTTACGGTCCCGGGGCCCGGCGAGGCCCCCTTGAGGCTGAAAATTACGAAAAACCTGCGTCTTGATTTTTTTAATGCGTTGGATCTCTGGGCATGCGCCCCCAGCGCGCCCCCTGGGACGAATTCGGGGGAGGCACCGGGCGCTCTGGGCGTGTCCCAATCTGGCGCTCTCGCTCGAGACGTCCTCGCAAACATCGCGCCACGGGCCCCCAGCGCGAGCAGGTGTCATTTCTGGGGATGCACCGGGCGCGCCTGGCGCGCGGCGTACCACAATCCAGCGAGCCCTGCCATCTTCTCCGCCTTCTGTCCCGCAGTCGTCGTGCGCGTGCGGTTGGTCCCCGTCGTCATCGACGTCTTGATCCTCGGCGTCCTCTTCCCTAATTACCCTCCTGGTCCTGACCGCCCTCATCCCGCCCTCCTGATCCTCACCATCCTGATCACCACCCTCATGGCCCTCACCCTTCTGACCCTCACACCCATGATCCTCACTCTCCTAACTCTCGCTCTCCTCAACCTCACCTTCCTGCCTCACGATCCTGATCCTCACCCTCCTCATGCTCATTATCATTATCCTGATCCTCGATCTCCTCATGATGCTCACTCTGCCGATCCTCGCTCTGCTGATTCTCCCTTTCCTGCTCCACACTCGCCCGATCCTCACCCTGCTGATTTTCATATCCTCATCCTCGCTCTCCTGACCCTCATTCTCCACATCCTCACCTTCCTACTCCACGCTCGCCTGATCCTCACCCGCGTAACCCTCACTCTCCTGATCCTCCCCCTCGCGAGCCTCGCCCTCCTGATCCTCACCCTCCTCATCCTCACCCGCCGCACCACCGGTTTCCGCTCATTCACCTCTCGCCCACAAGCGCACGCTCCTTCGTCTACATACAGAAACTTCCGATCAACAGCAGAGCGGCCAGCTACTACGTGGTCCGATAGCTTGGCCGAGCTCTGGCCGCAACGCTCGGCCACATAGGCTCTTCCAAAGGGCAGGGGGCGGTGAAAGTTCGCCACAGGCGTCTGCGATGTGTGATGCAGGTTATGTTGGGCAGGCTGTCTGATGCAGGCTGTGTGGATCAAACTACAAGCCTCGTCAAAAATAAACAGAAACGAAGTTGGAAATCACGACGGTCGATCTTCTCGGGCACTTGTTAGAAACTGCGTTCTTCAATGCTGCGGCGGGGCCGTCGGATTTGTGAAGCCCTTGCGCCCACGTCAGATATCTAGCGTCAGCATTGGAGTAGCGCTGACCATACAATCACCGAAAACATAATCCCTCAGTCTATTTTTGACGAGGGTTGTAGGTGGTGTACTGGGCTGTGGTGCAAGCTATGCGGTACAAGCTACGTGGTGCAAGCTATGCGGTGGAAGCCACGCGGCGCCTACTGGTGGCGCGCGTGGCGGGGCCCCGGGGAGGCAGCCGCGCCGCGCCGCCGCACAACAGCGCGCGCGCGGGGCGAGCCTAGAAAACCTGAAGCCCTCCTCCTCCCCCTCCTCCTCTTCCTCCTCCTCCTCCTCCTCCTCCTCCTCCTCCTCCCCCTCCCCCTCCTCCTCCTCCTCCTCCTCCTCCACCTCCTCCTCCTCCTCCTCCTCCTCCTCCTCCTCCTCCTCCTCCTCCTCCTCCTCCTCCTCCTCCTCCTCCTCCTCCTCCTCCTCCCTCCTCCTCTCCTCCTCCTCCTCCTCCTCCTCCTCCTCCTCCTCCTCCTCCTCCTCCTACCTCGTGCCCATTGCCTGCGAAGCTGGCCGCGCGTGCCCCCGACGCTCGCCGCCTGTAGACGACGGTCACGGCACGCGAGCGCTGCTCTGCGGTCAGCCTCTCCACGCTGCTGGCCGCGGCGGAGTCCTGGGCGGAGCGGCCACGGGGGCTCCGCCTGCTGAAACGCGAGCTGGGCATTTAGATGATGTCGAAAATAATACGTTCTCGACAGGAAGTCGAGACGATGGGCTCGCCCGCGCTCGCGCGGCACCACCCCAGGCTTTGGTCGCAAAAGCGTGACGCGCGCGGGGAGGGGGCCTGGCATCAGGCCGCGCATGCGATGGCATCTAGATGATGTCGAAGATGATTTAGACGAGAGTGCTTGGGCGTTTTCTGAGTAGTTTTCGAAATAGGCTTGGTTTCAGATAGATGTATGTTTCACGTTTGGGACCGTTTTCGGTTCGGTTCCGTCTTGTACTGCCGTTCGGTTGGGATGCCGTTGCTTGTTTCCGTTTGAGTTGGCCGCCAACGGAAAAGCTGAAAACGGAGACAAAACGCCCCCAGCGCTTCTAGCATCAACTAAGGGCAGGATGTCGCCGCGGCTTTGTTCTCGACGCGCCCAAGCGGACGACGCCGACATCACGGCGAGTCCACGGCAAACCCTGGGTCCCGCGCCCCAAGTAGACGAGGCCAGCACCGCATCAAACCCCGCGACAAACCCACCGCGCCCGAGGTGGAGTTTGCCCTGGTGCCCGCGGCGCCCTCCCCAAGGAGTAAGGCCGCACGTCGGAACAAACGGCGCGGCGACGTATTCGGATGAGGATGAATCGGGAATCTCTGAGACCGGACGGGCCTGGAGGATGTATCGAGCACCGCGGCCGTTCCAGAGCGCTCCAGACGCCCTGGGAGCGTTCCAGGAAGCTGTGGAGCGATGTATCCCCGCCCTGGGCCTGCCTGACTGCGCTCCCCACATGTAAGGAAGGCATCGCCCCGGAACTGGCGACACGTCGCCGATAGACATCGGCGATGGGCCCACGACAGGCCAGCCGCATGGTCCTGGGCGGCGCGGGCTATCGTTATGTCGGGCGTGTCCCCCTACAGAGGAATTTTCGACGAAAGAAACAAAATATCCCCAAAATGCTCCAAAAAGGTCGAAAAATACCCCAAAAAATAGTCCCCAGACTATTTTTGGATTATTTTTTTGACTATTTTGGGGGGTATTTTCATGCTTCGTCGAAAACCCTCCTGTAGGGGGACAGGCCCGACTTAAGGCTATCGAGCCCCCCTCGGCGATGCGTGCGCGAGTGGGGCTCGCCCCCCCCCCCCCGGGAGCCGCTGAGCCCCCCTGACGCTGCCCCGGACTGGCGACGCCCACCGGGGGCGCGAGGGGCCCGCCGCGGCGCTGCGGGGCGGGGCTGGTCGGCGGGGCCGCGGCGGCCGGCACCCGGCGGCGCGACCTGCGGAGCGAGAGCTCCGGAGCGAAACCTCGGACGACGAGCTCCCGACGACCTCCAGGCCCGCACCTCCGACGATGCGACCTGTTCCGTTCGCGGCACCAGAGGTCCCGACCCTGTCCCTCGGGGCAGTCTGTCGCCCCAGAGCAACTCCTCATGGTCCCAGGGCCGATGATCGGCCTCCGAGGGCCAAGAAGCAGGAAAAACGCCAGGATTGAGACAATCGTATCGTCGGATGTCTGGGCCAGCTGACCCTAAATCCGGATCCGCCGTACTTTTGTTGAGCTTCCAACTGAAAACTGTGTCAGAAATGCAACCCAAATAATACGGCGCAAACTTCTGCCTCAGACAAGTGGGGCCAATGTTTTCGCAAATGTATGGTGGAACCGGCTACGGCAAAGCAGGGCGGAAATCGGCATCAGAGGAGCCTGGAAAGCAGGGCCAGAAGGGTCAAAATCGAGGAGAACGCCAGGACTGGACAAATTCGAATCGTCGGATGTCTGGACAGCACTCTTCAATACTCGCTACATCTCATGTGACTGGCCCCGCCCTCCCCCCTCCCCCCCCCTGGGTCACGTCAGGATTCGCGCCAGCGCCGTGTGGGAATTGGCTCGTCCGAAGCATTCCCAGACGGCGCTGGCGCGCATCGGGACGTGGCCAGCCCCCTCCCCCCCGTCGGGCCCGTGGTCGCCAAGCGACAAGCAAAAAGAGCCTCCAGGACTGACAAACCGAGTCGTCGGATGTCGGCCATACACAAGAGTGACCCTGGGTAAGAGTGACCTTTGGTGCGCGACTTTTTGGGGGGCCGCGGGGGGACCAAACCTGGGCGCGCAGGCAGCTGCTGCTGCTGCTGCTGCTGCTGCTGCTGCTGCTGCTGCTGCTGCTGCTGCTGCTGCTGCTGCTGCTGCTGCTGCTGCTTCGTTTTCAGCCATCTGGAGACCCATCTGTGCCCGCACCAAAGGTCACTCCGGCCAAAGGTCGCTCTTAACGTCTAGTCGAGGATGTCTGGACCAGGCCGACGCCCCGCGCCGGCGACTCCCGGGAGCGACGACGGGGGCGAATAATTAGCACAGGGGCGGGTGTCGCGCGCATTCGCCCGGGAGCCTCGCTGGAAACAGGTACGGTTGCCGCCTCTAGATATACAGAACATGAAGAGCCTCCGCCTGCCAAACCGAAGAACATTCGAGGGGGCCCTTCCCCAGGATGCACCATGACATCCAACAAGCCCGAAACACACGAGGGCACCCTCCCCGAGCCGACCTCGATCTCGTACCTCGGTCCGACCGTACATGCACTGCTCCCCCCTGGGCGATTCGCCCCTGCACAGCCGTGGCAAAACATTTCTTCAACGTGCTGTGGCCAAGATCTATCCCGTCCCTCTCTGGCGCCCTTCGGCGGAGTGGCGTCCGATCCGCCCGATGCTCATCACTGCGTTACCCCCCAGAACCGGGTGGGAATCCACTCCGCGCCACACCCCAGAACAGATCGAGCAGGATGCGCCCGCACGCGGAGTAGTGGAAGCAGTTCTACTCCGAACTGCTCCGCCCTGCTGGCGCTCTTGGCGAAGACGACTTGCCAGAAACTCTCGCCACGGGGATGCATCTCGGGTCGGGCCAAAGGGGGGGATAGCAAAGGGGGGGGGTGAGAATCAGCTCATGTAGCTGATTTCCCCGGCGCCTCCCGGCGCCGGAGGCGGCTTCTGTATCGACGAATGGGCCCCTCGGTGAGGCCGAGACCAGCTGCCTGCGGCAGATTTCGCAACGTGCGCGCGTCGCCCCTGGGGGGGGGGCGACGCACACGTAGTGCCAGAGCATGTTGGGGTGACGCCGAGACCACTGCGACCACACCAGAAACCTTGGAGGCCTGGAAATTGGCACCAACACCAGCACAGGGGGTTGCCTCGACAGGGGGAAGATGATCCTAGATTTCGGTGTTGCTGGTAACACTTCGGCCACCTTGGAAGCCAGAATATTACCACCAGCACCAAGATCGGGCTCGTCTTCCCTCGGTGGAGGCACACCGCCGATCTTGGTGTTGGTGTCAACCTTAGGGGGCCACATGCGAACCCTACACCTACCCCCCACGATTTCTGAGGGCGAGGTTCACTCCGCGCGGGAGCTCCCGAGCGAAGCGAACCCCACCCCCGCCCTCAGAAACCGTGGGCGGCAGGGGCACAGGGCTCGCATGTGGCCCCCTAAACCTCCAGGCGGTAGGACTAACCCCAGGAAGCATTTAAGAACCCCCCCCCCCCCTTCCGGCAAATCGATAACCCTTCCGCACCCTGGAAGCGTTACCTGGCACCAGGCACCAGGAGCCCTCCTCCTCCTCCTCCTCCTCCTCCTCCTCCTCCTCCTCCTCCTCCTCCTCCTCCTCCTCCTCTAAGCAGCGTGGCCCCCTAAACCTCCAGGCCTGCGATGCAACCCCCCTCCGGCGAGCAGCCACCCCGACGTGCAGAGCCGAGCCGCTGCGCCCGGTTAGGGCGGCGCGCGCGGCCCCCGTGCGAGCTCGGCGGCGGCCCGCGCTCCGGCCCACGGCTCCACTCGGCCGCGCCGGCGCGGCGCGGCCCCGGCCGCCGAGGAGGCGTGGCGCGCTCGTGCCGGCCCCGACTCCGGATCCGCCACACTGAGGGGGCCCCAGGACACAGAAAGAAGTACAAGCAGATGAAAATGTACTCCCCCTATCTTCCCATGTTTTCCGGGCTCCTGTCCTCCCGCCCACTTCCCATAGTTTCCCATATTGTCTGGGGCATCGAGGATGAATTGTGTCTGTGTGTTTCTTTTCCTCCTGCCACATGTGCTCCGGTTGGTTCTCCGACTTCCGGTCGAAACTAGGATCAGGAAGCTCTCTGTCATTCAGGGGATCTGGGCCAGCTGCCCGGAGGGCTCAGAAGACGAGCCTGGGCCAATGTGTCTGTTCACGCTGGGGGGGGGGGCGAAGGTGCTCAAGGAGTTTGGCCAGCTGGTCGAGAAACGCCGGCCCAACTCTTCGGGAGGGGGTTTCTTAATCAGACGCTCGGCTGCAAAATTGTGCCGGCCGTGCACCCCAGACGGTGCGCAGGGCGGAGGAAGGTCCGCCTCCGAACAGTGGGGCGAACATTTTGGCAAGGTGTGGCGGAAACAGCGACGGCAAAGCAGGGCGGAAATCGACTCTGGGCATCGCTCGGACGCTTATTCCATGTGCATTGTTCGATTTCGTGCGTGCGTTTTTCCGCAATGTGACCCAAGATGCTCCTCGATGGTGCTCGCCGAGAAAATTGCACACGCCCGAGCGATGTCAAGCGACATCACAGGAGACTAGCCCGGCCCTCGGGAGAAGCTGCTGCTCATCTGGCGCCCTCCGCCGCGCGCGCGCAGATGCGATCGCACGTGCCGGTCTTGAGCCCGTTTCGCTGTCATTGGAGATAGCGCCCGTGACCGGCCGCGGTCCCCCCCCCGTGACGGCAAAGTGGGAAGTGGGGCGGAAATCGGCATCAAAGGAGCCGTACGATTAAGTCGGGCGTGTCCCCCTACAGGGGGATTCGACAAAAATAAGAAATACCCCAAAATTATTCTAAAAAGGTAAAAAAATATTAAAAAAAACAGTCCCCTGACTATTTTTGGATTATTGTTGTACTATTGTTGGGGTATCTCTTATTTCTCGTCGAATATCCCCCTGTGTGGGGGACAGGCCCGACTTAACCTTACGAGCTCGCCAAAAAGACAGACGGGATTCGGAGTCCGGGCGGGCCGGGGCGCCTCGTGGCCGGAGCGCCTGGCCCGGGCCACCTCCTCTCGTGGAGGAGGAGTCACGGCGGGAAGCTTCTGGCCGCCTTCGGCCTCGGGGGGCCCTCGTCTTGGCATTATTCGCGATCGCGTACGTGACCGATCCCGCCCCCTGGTCTCGTCACGATTCGCGCCGGCGCCGTGTGGGAACTAGCCGTTCGCCAGCATTCCCAGACAGCGCCGGCGCGGATCGTGACGTGTCTGGCCCCCTACCACCCACCATGGCCACTCCTGCTGTCGCCAGGGGAGCCACCACCGTGCCTCTGGGCACGGAGTGGGCGTGTCCTCAGGTCCTTCGCCTACACCTCGTTCATTTCTAATCGTGCTCATTTCTAATTGTGCTCGCTTCTAATTGTTCCTGGCCCCCTAGTGGCCAGGACAAGGCCCAGGACAGAACAGTTAGAAATGGAAGGTTCTTGGCCCCTAAAAAGATCAAAGAACTTTCGAAGAATTAACCATGAACGCTGTGTAATCCCTGGACCCTCGGTCCTCGGCCCCGAGGCGTCTTCAAGGGGCCCGGGCCCGAATCCAGAGATTCGGCGGGGCGCCCGGCGTGCCCCTGGGGCTCCCCCGCGGCCTCCCGCATGACTCTCATGGGCCCCGAGGGGGCGCGCGGCGCCCAGGTGGTGGGGGTGTCCCGGGCGGTCTTAACGGGCGAAGAACGGCATAAAATAAACTGTTTCGCTGTCGGGGGCGCCTGTCCCTGGGCGGCTGGAAAGTTTATACCCTTACGGTGGCAACGTAGGGGTATAAACTTTCCAGCCGCCCAGGGGCAGGTGTTCCTGACGTCGGAAAAGTTTATGTTATACCGTTCTTCGCTCGCTGACGGTTCGCAGGTTTGGGTGCCCTGCATCCCCTGCTTCCCGAGCAGACTGCGTGAAGGTCTCAGGAGAGGCGCTGGCTCCTCCATCCGCAAAGGGGGAGCCGCCAGGGGTGGGGAGACTCCAGGAGTCGCGCCCAGATTGCAGGTAGTTATGTCTCAAGCGGCTTGCCGGTTAGGGTGCCCAGCATCCTTCACTTTCGGATCAAAGTGATGATCTCTCAGGCAAGGCGCTGGTTTCAGCACTCCCGGGAGCCACCAGAGGCGGGGACACTGCAGGGTTCGCGCGCAGATTGTGGGGATGTCTCAGGCGGTTTGCCCGTTAGGGCACCCAACATCCTCTGCTGCCGGAGCGGACAACAACAATTCTTCTCGGGCGAGGCGCTGGTCTCGGCACTCGCAAGGGGGAGCCGCCAGGAGTGGGGACACTCCAGGAGTCGCGCCCCGATTGTGGGGATGTCCAACGCGGTCTGCCTGATTGGGTGCCCCGCATCCTCTGCTTTCGGAGCAGACTGGTAAAAACAATGTATCAAGCGAGGCGCTGGCTTCAGCACTCCCGAAGCGGAGCCCCCCCAACATCCTCTGCTTTCGGAGCAGATTCTGAGGATGTCTCAAGCGAGGCGCTCCTTGCAGCACTCCCAAGGGGGGGGCGCCCAGGGGTGGAGGCACTCACATTCAGGCACTCTCAGATCGCTCAGACTCACACTCACACTCACACTCAGACCGCTCACACTCAGATGCACTCAGACCTCATGCTCACATCCACACTCAGACTATCTATACGACCACCCCTCGGGTGATAAGGAGGTCCGATTGGGGGGGAACCAACGTCTCACTCGATCGATCTCACATCGATCTCACTATCCATCTCACTATCGATCTCACTGTCGATCTCACTATCGATCGCACAATCGATCTCACGATCTATATCATTATTGATCTCACGATCACTCTCACTACCGATCTCACTAGCGATCTCACTCTCGATATCACGATCGATCGCACAGTGGATTTCACTATCGATCTCACGGGACACCACGGGACACCGTGGGACACCACAGGACACCACGGGACACCACGGGAAACCACGGGATACCTCTGGACACCACGGCGGGACACCGCGGGACACCACAGGACAACACCATCACGGGGCACCACGGGACACCGCGGGACACCGCGGTACACCAAGGGACACCACGGGACACCACCGGACACCATCGGGACACCACAGCGGGACACAGCGGGACACCATCGACACACCACTAGGACACCGTCGGGACACCAATCGAAACACCGCGGGACACCACAGAACACCACGGGACATCATCGGGACACCACGGTGTGACACCCCTGGCACCCGCCCACCACGCGGCCGGGAGGGCGGACTTTTGTCCTCGCCGCGCCCTGGCCACAGGAGGGTTCATTCCTCTCGCCCGCCCACGCAGCTTCGCCTCGCCCGCACGCACGACACGAACCCGAACCCGAAACCGATTTCCCAGTGGGGGGTTCTCCGCTCCACTTCGATCCACCCCCTCACCTCCAACACGTTCACTCACACTCATGCGCATAGACTCACTCACACTAAGACTCACGCACATTCAGGACTCATTCACCCTGAGACCCAGAGACCCGTTCATGCTCAGATCTTGCGCACGTGGACGCTCGCAACTGGAATAAGGCGTGGGCGAACAAATGCACATATGGGGATTCCCGCGTCGAATGATTTCAGTCCTGACGTTTTTCATATGTTTCAGCCCTCGGGGGCCCGTCGTCGGGCTGCAGGACCATCAGGGGAGGACGTCATGATTTTTCCGCCACGTCGACCCAGAAGTCTCGACCCACTCCCGGGAGCCGACTTTTCATCCCGGGCCGTTTTTTTTACAGCCCCGAGGCCCGGCCAGGGCCCCCAGAGGCCAAATACCGTGAAAAACTTCGGGGCCGCGGACTCCGAGCCAGGGGAGGGCGGCGCGAGCCTCCGACCCCACCCGCGCGAACCCCATGGCCGCGGGGACGCGACGGCGGGGTACGCCGCCGACAGCGCCCCGTGCAAGCAGGACACCTACACTTCCCTTACTTCGTGTTATCGTTCTTCATGCTATTCGATTTCATCCTTCTCAAGCTTTTCCAGGTTCTAACCTACGATCGGTTGTTCCTGCAGTACACCTAGACGACGGCCCCGTGCAGGCAGTGCACGTGAGCATCCAGCTGGGCATGCTCCCCGCCACCGCCTTGGAGCAGCCCCCCTGCCACGACCCCCCGCCGTGCGAGAGAGGCCCAGCGCCCCCCCCCCCCCGCCCCCGATATCGCCCCGCGGGCGGCCGGCCCCGCCCGGGGGCACCCCGCGGGCGCTCCTTTGTCCTGCCGCTGACGAAGAGCGCGCGCGCCGGCGGGAGGCTCGGGGGCGGCAAAGAGGGGGGCGTCCAAGAGGGGCAAAGCATGGCCGGCGGCATGTGCGCGGGCCCAGGGGGGGGGGCCGGGGACGCATTGAAATAAGAAGGGGCGCCATGAGACCAGGGGAAAAATCATGGCCCACGCCATGATATCCCCCCCCCCCCTAGTCATCGCCCCCCTCTTTGCCGCCCCCGAGAGGCGGCCCAGCTGGCCGCGGGGCGACCCCGGCCGGGCAGCCCGAGGGGGTCCTCGGGCCGACCCTGCCATGGGTGCGGCAGCCCACGCCGAGGGCGGGGCCCGGAGATCCCGGCGCCACGGCTTGCTCGCAGCGGGCCAGCCTGCCCCGCTCTCCGGGCCCCTGGGCCCGCACCGGAACGATCGGGCTCGAGGGAGAGGGGGGGGGTGTCCAGGGCGCTGGTCGTGACTTGTCCGCGACGGTGCACCCTCCTCTGCGCGACGCTGGATCTCCGGGAGACGCGTGCGCCTGCGACTGCGCTCTTCCCCCTGCCCCCGCAGGAGGAGGGGGGGAAAAGATCGGAGGAGGACGAGGTAATTACCGATGCCGCTAGCCGCTCCTCGCTGCCACGGCTCGATTCGTCTCGAAATCCTGGTCAGAACGCATCCCTGGAGAGGCCCAGGGCCCAGGGAGTAGCGGTATCGATAGCTTCGTCCCACCAAGGAGGAGAGAGTGGGGGGCCACCATGCTCATTAAGGAAATGGAGTAGGAGGAAAATGATAACATACAGGGTCATGTACGGCGGTCAGTACGAGCAGTGTCCGATCGAGGATGAGAACCATTACCTTGCAATCATAACTTAAATACGTTCAATTACAATCTTAAGATCAGCTGCAAGGATCCTCGGGGAATGGCCTTCGACCCATCTCGCCACCGTGCGCGGGTAGTGGGCCAAAAGCAATGAGTGTTCGGAGGAATGTCGAAGGAGGCCTCGCGGGGGCCTCTTGGGGGCCACTGTTTGGCCTCTTGGGGGCCGTTTTAGTGCCTCCTGGGGCGTCGTGCGGGCCTTTTGGGGTCCCCGTGTGGCCTCGTGGCAGCCTCTGAGGGCCTTCTTGGGAGCCTCTTGTGGCGAAAGACTCGAAAACTCGGTTCATGCTCCCCATCTTGAGCGCATCTTGGGGCCGTTTTTAAGGCCTCTGAAGCTGTCTTGGGCGCCCATGGGGCCCATTTGGAGTCGTGGTGCGCCGTCCCGGGGCTCTCCTAGAGGCCTGTCGGCCCGTCTTGGGGCGGTCTTGTGGTGGTCTTGGACCGTTTGCGATTGTAGTAGGGTCCGAAAAACAATGAAAAGCCGTAAGGAAATCAACGACTGTTGCATCTCAGGGCACTCGTCTGGGGCCTCAGGCGCCTGCTGAAGCCTGCTCGGGGCCGTCCTGGCGCAGCCTGGAAGCCTTCGGAGGCCGTTGACAAGACATTCTCGGCGCTGTCGGGGTGTGATGGATCAATCCGATAGACAATCGTACCAATTTTTGGGCCATCGGTGCGCCAACAGGACCACTTCTGGAGACCACGAGAGCGCTCGTGGAGCCCCCAGAGCCCCCATGCGTCACCGTAGCCGTGGTTCCGGGCCCGCCCAGGCCCAATCCCGATAATTTGTGTATATAGATATATACATACAACGTGTATATGTACATGTACACACATACCTTCATACAGACATACCGATTGACCTACTCACATACATGCTTAACTACATACACACACGCATGCCTGTATACCTACCTACCTACCTACCTACCTACCTACCTGCCTGCATGCATGCATGCATGCATGCATGCATGCATGCATACACGCACACCTACCTACATACATACATACATACATACATACATACATACATACATACATACATACATACATACATACATACATACATACATACATACATACACACATACATACATACACATGCATACATGCATACATACATACGTGCATACATACATACATACATGAATCCATACATGAATGCATACATACATACATACATACATACATACATACATATAACATACATACATACATACATACATACATACATACATACATACACACACACATTCATACAAACATACAAACATACATACATATTCACATACAGGCATGCATACATATACACATACCTACATACATCGTACATATACATATACACATACATACATACATACATACATACATACATACATGCATGCATGCATGCATGCATGCATGCATGCATGCATGCATGCATACATATATACACACGTATACACATACGTACATACACACATACACACACCTACATACATACATACATACACACATACATACATATATGCATACATACATACACACATACATACATGCATACATACACACATACATACATACATACATGTATGCATATATACATACATGCATGCATGCATGCATACGTACAAGCATGCATGTATACATGCGTACATACACATACATGCATACACACATACCTACATACATACATACACATACATGCACACACACACGCAAACGTACAAACATATATCCAGACATAATATGTACACATTAGACTGTATTGGCGCGTCGCGCCATGCACTCATCGTCCTCTTCGGGATACACCGAACCCTTGGTTCGCCACGGGATTCAAGGGAATGTTGCTACGAACCTGGGATTCGGATCACTTTGGTGAATTCGTGACGCTTCGCGTATATCCACCACCCTTCAGACTCCCTGGATGCGCCGTTGCATGTTCCTTTCAGGGGCTGCCCTGCAGACTCCCTGGATTGCACGCCTTGGCTCTGACGCCCTGGGTCGCTGCTGCCTGCCGTCTGACCGCGGCCTCGCGCGCGCCCGCTCCCTAGTCGCGGCCGCAACCCGACCGTGACCGCCCGCCGCCGGCGCCTCCGCCTGCGGCTGTATATATATATATATATATATATATATATGTATTCCCGCTCCCGCCGCTGGGGCCAGATGAGATTGTTTCTGACTGAGCGAGCCGGCGTCGGGAGCGGCGGGCGAGCATGGCCACTCGACAAGAGGCAACCAACGCTAGCGATCGCGGCTTTGCCGATCCTGCTCCTGGAAACAGGGCTGAGCCAGGGAGGGAGAGGAGGGAGGCGAACCTGTGACAGGAAACGGCCACACACGCACGCGGTTGCTAGACGATACACGCGCAAGCACAAACATCTTCCCGCTCCCGCCGCTGGGGCCAGATGAGATTGTTTCTGACTGAGCGAGCCGGCGTCGGGAGCGGCGGGCGAGCGTGGCCACTCGACAAGAGGCAACCAGCGCTAGCGATCGCGGCTTTGCCGATCCTGCCCCAAAAACAACGAATCCCAAAAAGTTCAACTGGCCCCTTTGGGCCGTCGATCATAACTATCCAGCTTTCAAAATCCATCGGAAGAAACCTTGACAAACATTAAAAGCGAGGGCCTGGCGAAAGCATTTCACGATGGCCCTACACAGAGGTCTCGGGTATGGTTCAGCTATCTTGGTCATAAGCTGCAGGGGCTCATGCTCTGATGTTCTACATTTTCCTGTCAACTCTACATGTGGGCGATTTGTGCGCGTGCAAATCCCTTTGGACGACGAGCACAGTCCGCGAAACGAGGGGAGATCGACCCACAAGGACAACAGCCTGGTTCTTTTCCTCCACGGGACCCCGTAGAGGCAAAAATCTACGACGGTCTGTCTGGCATTGGCATGATTTAAAATACGTGCGATGGGGGGGGGGCCGACCACACACGAGACGAGTGCGGATTCTCGAGTACCACTGGGATGCGAAGACGCATGCATAACTGCAACACACTGGCACAAAACCGCATGCTATCATTTCCTATGGCAACCTTCCGTGCGTCCAAAGGCGAGAGGTCAGGAAGCCCCATGATACAGTCCTTGCTGCGCAACGGGGGCGGTCCTGTCATGCCGCCCCTCCGCGCCATGGACCAGGAAGAACGCAGCATGCCCATCCACACTGCGCAGACGAGGCCGCTGCGCAGCCACCCCCTGATCAGCTTCTGGTTGCTTGGGCGGGTCAAATCGTACTCTTCTCCGTGGATCAGGTCCCATTCGAAGACCGGGACGTCTTTGAGCCCTGCTTCGCGCCGCCAGGCCTGCGCCCAGCGCCCGGTGCCGCTGAAAAGCTCAAGGGCCACCTGGCCCCGTGGGGCGCGGGCGGCAGCGCCGAGCACGTCCTGGCGAGGAGCTGTCCAGCTCGGTTGCGGCAGGCCCTGGCGTGCTCGAGCGCCACCCTGGAGAGCCGAGCCAGCACCTGGTGGAGTCTGCCGCCCTTCTCGCAACGGCGGAGTGACTTCACGCTCACCCAGCGCCCGCGACGCAGCACGCCCTGCAGCTCCCTCTGGCCGCTGGCGATCGCGTGCGAGGCGCCTCCGTGACGGCTCAGGTGCAGGTGGTTGATGCCGATCGCCTCCAGGTTGAGCAGATTCCCCGCCGCGCCGAAGAGTCTCTCCAGCTCCGTGTACTCGAAGGGGAAGAGGCGCGGCCCCGCGCCCCGCCGAAGCACCTGCAGCCCCGGCACCAAGTCGAAGTACTCCGAGTTGTCCAGCACCAGCGCCTCGTCGTACAGCTTCGCCTTCGATGGCTGCATCCCCTCCGCGGGGTGGAGCTCCGCGCTCCAGCGCGCGTGCCCCGCGCCGCCGCCCGCGAGCGGCTCCACCAGCTCCTCCGGCCGCCTCTTGATCGCGCCCACGGGCCTCAGGTACAGCGCATACAACATCAGGGCGATGCACACGCACGGCTCCCAAGGGCTCCACAGGTACAGCATGGCATTCAAGACCGTGCGCATGATGACGAGCGGCAGCGGCAACCTCGACGTGGCGGGGGCCACCTGGTTGAACCCCGCCCGGGCCCGGGTGGCCCCCCTCAGCTCCACCCCGGCCCGCTTCAGCTGCCAGTGGAAGGCTACGGCGGCCCTCAGCTCGCCGAAGTCCCCCGCCGCGGCCCCCTCGAAGTACAGCGCGTCGCCCCTCTTCACCAGAGCTCCCTCCTTCTCGGCCAGCGCCCCCAGCGGCAGCCGGTGAACCGCAGCCCAGGCCAGAAATGCCGCCATCATCTTCTCGTGCGGCTTCTCCGCGGCTCTGGCACGGGGCAGCAGGCCCGTCACGGCCGCTGCCCGGCTGCCTGCGCTGCGGCACCCCGCGCGGCTCCGCGACGGCATCGCCGCGAGTGGGCGCAGCGGGGCGGACCCCGATGAAAGCCTGATGAAGCTCAGGCCGAGGAGGCTGAAAAAGGCGGGAAGGCTCGTCCGCGGGATTATCCTCTGACGTCACCCATCGAACTGAGGCTGACACGCCTGACGCCAGGCAGTTGGCCCCCCGCTGCCTGCGCACGCGGTTCATCCCCTTGACCGACGACCTCCCCTTGCTCATCATCAGTGCCACCGACATCGCATCGACGATGAAGAGGAGACGGCGACCATGATTGCGCAGCCGACGGAGTTGATGCTTCAGCGCCCACAGGACGCCCCGCGCCTCAAGCATGGGCGTGGATTCGCGCCGCCGCCAGCGGGCGGCGCTGACCGTGCGCCAGGGGCCCT